AGCGCTGCACGGCCTGTCATGCAGTGTTCGGGAGTGGAGTGAAGAAACCGTAATGCCGCAAGTCAAGTGCTATGCGGTCAAAGTCTTGTTTATTGAGGGTATTTACACCATCAGCACTCTTATCCTCTCTGTCTCAAGTTTATAACACATCGGGCCAATGGAATTGTTGTTCGTCACATTATCTTTCTGACGTCTGTATGATCCTCTTCATTCTTCAACCATATATGGGTGTGATGCCCCAAACACATCAACGTATGGGCTTACCATACTGTCCCATAACATGTCAAAATTAGTCCATAAAGCCTAAAAAGGCTGAACATTATAAAGTCTGCTGTTTGGCTCGTGACATCCCCTTGGAAATGGAAAAGGTTAGCTGCTAATTTGAACATGCGCCACTTGATCAGTGTCACATATAACTATCAATAAAAAAAACAGTCCATACTGCCATACATTACTATTATTCACGCCCATCAATTGACATGGCCTTTCTCTTCCATTCTGTTTAGAATTCATTGATCTGTCCCCGCATTATTTTTTGCACCAGTATCCTGTTTAAACGGGAAATACAGCAAATTAAACGAGCAACATGCTGTTTCATGGGGACTTTGAACGGCCGTGTCAAAGAAGTCCACGCATCATTAGGAAGGTGCTCCGCATCGTTATGAATCATTAAAACATGAGGGTAACGGAGCGTGAACGCAAAGGGATGTAATGACAGCGGCAGGGAAATGTTTCATCTATTAAAGGTAGGACCCCCCCCCCCCCCCCGCCTCGTCCCTTGAGGCTCTATTTCCCGTGCTGTTCAAGATGAGAAGTGGTTGGAGTTAAAGAGGGCAGCAATGAGACAGTTTGAGCTCCTTGCCACTCTTCTCCTCATGCTCGCAGGACAGACTGCACTTGGGAGACGGTCGTCAGTAAATCAAGTTGAGAGAAATCTGGCAGAGAAATTCGGGGGAGAAGGTACATCTTCAAAGGCGGTTCGGAGGAAGAACGTGACGACAACTACATAATCCATCAGGAATCAGAGAACGTGATGAAAGTGGTGTTTCACTTTTTATTTAGTCTCCCAGAGAGCTTAGTCAGCTATAAACAGCAAAGCAGTTTCATACATTCAGCAGATATGTAGCAACATTAGCATTCATTCGGAGTTCTGTTCCTGGCTTCCAGGCAAATGTATATTGTAAATATATGTAAATATATATTTACTCTTCTTTAACCACTCTATGACTCTGTCACGGCCTTACCTTTTGTCAGTCCTGAAATCCTGAAGCGGCCGTGTGCTTTGGTCTGTAATGAGCAAATATCAAACTAAGTGCCCCATAATCCCATGGTCCCTTCATGGTGAGCGGGAACAATCCTCAAACAGATCGATTTGTGGGGGCCGGGGGACAGATAAGTCCTGGGATGAGAAAAAGGGGCACCCTTTTTTACTTTAGCTTTTGAAAGAGGAAGGGACAAGGAGGGGAAACGAAGGCCACAGTGTTTCCTCCTCCAAAATGTGTTAAGTGAAAGCTCGCATAAATCCCCTTGAAAGTGGATTAGCAAAAATATCTTTTCCTCTTAGGTTTCATTCAGACAGGAGCCAGTCTCGAAAAAGTGGTGTCCTTATCTAAACATTGGACGGAATCGTATTAATCAAAGGCAGCAGTGCACAAAACACAAGTCTCGGCTTTGGCCTAGTGCAGCATGGTAAAAGTCACTCGCTTTTCACAGTTTCCACCCAAACAGTGGAAGCTGGCACCACGTTATAGGAAAGCTCAATTATAATATCAGGTTGGTGTTATTACTGTTGATTATGTGCTTTTGAAGACCTGACTTGCTCCCGAGTTCACTTCCTCTCCTCTTCCCTGGTTGAGCCATGCTCTTTGAAATCTAACCCGCCTTGGAGGTTAATGAATCACCGGCCTGGTTCCCTGTTTTATTTTCAACCCTTGGCCTTTTGTCACATTGACGTACACATACGCACACACACACACACACACACACACACACACACACACACACACACACATTGGATTTGAGCCTGTAGTTTTGGAGATCGGGATGGGATGCCCGTCAGAGTTGGTTGTTTCAATCACAGCCGCCCTGCAAAGCAGCAGTGTGTGTTTTCTTAACCCCTGTCATGTTCATTTCAAATAAACTCAAGCATCGCCTGAGCATGCATGTACAGAATCGAACACATTCACATTAGATCCCAGAGAGAAAAAATAATCAATGTATTGATGTTAAAGAAGGCTCATGCAACTCAGGTTTTATAATAGTTTTACCTGCATTATGATTATGTTAAGTCAACGTAAATGGTTGTTTAAACCCAGACCTGACTCTGCCATTGTTGTGTTTACAGCTATGTTTGCTACTTGGGGGCAGCAAACATAGCTGTAAACACAACAATGGCATGTTATCAACTTATAAAGTTGTTTTTGGCTAATGTGTTAGCAAAGCAGTTTCCTATCAACACATTCAGCAGATATATAGCAACATTAGCATTCATTTGGAGTTCTGTTCCTGGCTTCCAGGCAAATGTAAGTGCAGTATTTACTCTTCTTTACCCACCAACTCCTGAGGGAAATTTGTGGCTCTTTAGCAGTTAGCTAATTGGCCTTAAACGCAAAGTCTAAATCCAAAAGTTTTGACCGCGTGGTGGTGCTAGATGAAAAGGCAAGGGATCCCCGAAGTCATAAGGATTTATCCTCTGGGGACGCTGAATGGCAATCCATTCAATTGCAAACAGTGAAACATTTTTCAGTGTTTGACCAAAACCTGTGACATTTCCCTTTACCTCCTGCCTACAATGTCTCTCTTGTACAGGAATGTCACACTACCTGTATTGTGTACAAATTAAAAATATCAGTGGGTGCAATCCAGGCAGCAAATATGTTAAAAAATATACGTAAATAATGAATTTTGTCTGTCATCAACCCCCTTGATGACCCCCTTTCGTTTCGATAGTGTGACCCAGCATTTTGCACCCTCTTTTGAAATATCCAGTCCCCTGCCAGATCCTAATGGTCCAGTGGGGGTGTGCAGGATGCTTGACATTGGCACCGGACAGCCAGTTTAGTTTGTTAGCTTAGGGAGAAGGGTTTGATAGATCCCCCTTTTGAGACGGCAGCGAGTGCGAGTGTAGCTGTCATGCACCATTAGCCTGTGGCTCAGCCTGGTTCCAGCGTATCGCACGGCCTTCAAGGAAGATGGATGCAAACTTCAGAATGACAAGGAAATGGTTGTCAGATTTGTCTGGTGTTAAGACACTAAAAGGGTGAGAAAATAATTTCTGCAGACGGTGTAAAAAATTCTCTTGAGAAAGAAGCAATCGGCATGTTCATCTCGACCGGGCCTCCATTTAGCCTTGAGCGAGGACATCTGGTGACTTAAGTGGTTTTCAGCACATCTTAGCCGACACACACACACACATCCGCAAAGCTTCTCTTGATAATTGTATGCATGACTTATGTTTGCTTTACCCCTGGCTTGTAGTTGTGCAACATTGACATTTTCAGCATCGATGGCAGAAAGGACACGCTTCAGCGGAGATCTCATGTTATATTCAGGCACCCAATAGTAGGCCGTATTATGATAAAGGTTTTTCATATCACTTATTTAGTTTCCCATGCTAAATGCATTCAAGTCTGTGGGGTATATAGTTTAGAAGTTTTTTTTAGTTTTTTTTTAACTGCTGAGTCATTCTGAGAAACACATGCTGTATTAAATTCCAGCAGTGTGTTTTACAAGTTTCTCACAGTTTTTACACTTGCAGAGCCCAACACACAGCCGCTTTGCAGGTGAGGAATTATAAACAGTCCAACATTACATTTGTTAAGCTGACTGTTTTATCTAAAGCAATATATTTTTTTACTTTATGAGCTAAGTTGCACTCTAAACAGATGAGTCTTCAGTCTGCGCCGGAAGATACATAAAGAAATACGAAAGAAACAGACAACTTAAATGTTACGTCGTGGCCCAACAGCTGCCACATGTGCACATCCATACCCCACAAAAGTGTGCTTGTACATTACGATCTATGTCATCTGAGTAGGCCTTTGCCCACATTTTGCTGCAGTAACTTATGTGTTGTTACAGATGCCTTACACAGTGTAAGTGACTGCAGCTAAGCGGTGCTGGGTGCTGATTTGTCTTATTTAAGAGTCCACTCTGTGGATCTTTCCCACACAAAGCTGGTGTAAGTTTTGCTGCAGTTTGTCCCAAAACTAAAAATCTGCAACTCCCTACGATGCGAAAAACCCCTAAGTACCCCAAACCCACATCCCCTGCTCGGCTTCGCTCTGCCTTGGCAAAAGCCCGGGAGGCAGGCAGTTGACCCGGGTCATTACAGAGTGTTTATGACCCACGGAGAGTAGCTGAGGGCCTCCGCTCTGTGAATTTGTGCATCCTGGAGAATGCGGACCCTGTTGTGCTGCTAATGGACCCTATCCATGATGCACCTCGACCCCCACCCGTCTCCCCGAAGAGCTTTATTACTTCGTCTTCTGATATCAGATCTCTTCTGCTGTGAATTCCCCCCAGGGCCCGTAACGGTTCCCCTCATCAAGAAGTACGTGCAGTTGAGAGCACTAACCAAAATAAGAAAAAAAAAACAACATAATGTTCACTCAACGATTGCAAATAGAAACATAAGTTCTATTACAATATACTTACTTTCCCACCATCACCATTGCTCCAGAGTGGTGAAATAGCATGGTCCGGTGGAAACACTACGATATGAATAACAAAGGGCTTGTTGCATCACTGGGCTCTGATTTACTGTATTTGGTTCCTCTTTCTTTTTTTCCCCATATGGAAGACCCATACTTAAATAATAAGTGGTAAAACATGGTTTTGTGTTATTTTTCTGTGCACTACTTCTTTAGTTCTCATCGTGAACACCCAGCTGTCATAATGCTCCTCTGGCTGCGTCACACTGCCTCTTTTTGTGTATGTCTGTCGTCGAAAGGTGGTGTGTTGACCTGAAGGACACCTCTGAAAGATTCTTTGTTTTTCAGGTTGTAGTTTGGGCCAACGATGGGGACGCAGTGTTCATCAGGGAATTCACTCTGATTCGACGAGACCACCTTGCGGAAGAGCCTCTCCATGATGCCAGCCAAAAACCAGAAGACCCTGTAAGTCCCTGTTTAAAAAAACAAAACTTCACTCATTGGTGAACTTCCACCTGCTAACTTTTTCCACCCTTAACTTAAATAAGAAATAAATTGAGATGTCAGCCAATTAATCTATTGCGGTGTGTTTACGTAACGCACCACACCAGAGGAGTGAAATCTCTGTCACGTTGCACCTCAGTAATGAACACAAGTGAATGATGATCATGGGACACTGGGAGTGAAGGGCGGGCTGACCTAGCTTGATGTGAAACAGGGCCGCACAGGCAAACACACGCACTTAACACATTCAAGGGTGGGGTGGCTTCTTTTTTTTTTTTTGTGCATCGCATTACTCCCACTCTGTCATCACCTTTGATGAGACACGAGTCCCGGCCGTAGCAGTTTTCTTGAGCTAATACCTCACCCAGATGTTTTATCTAATTAGGTGGGAGGGAGGGTTTGAGCTGCCGACGTCCAGTTGGCCTATCTCTTTGGTCCTGGTGCAGTTTGAGAGGGATCTCTTAAATTGAACAGTATTACGTTATCATCAGGAATGCTATCTTGAGGTTAACTTGTCTATTTTCTGTGAGGACATTATGTTATCGACCTGACTCAGATTTTCCGGTTTACATGCACTTTCTTGCTTGTATGACATCCTCCATCGGGTGAAATTGGAAAAGTCCTGCTTACACCTTTCACAAGCCTCCACGCTTGAGGATCACGAGGGCTTACTTGAACATTCACATGTGCAGGATAGCATTACAGATCGGTGGCGGCCAGAGGTCCTCTTCAGTTTTAAGAGGGGATCAGAGATCATTCTGGTACTGGACTCATTCTCTATTATTAAGTGTAATATTCATGTTAACTGTCATACCAAGTGACATATATTTGCCAGTGTTTTGTGCCATCTTTGCTTTTTACATGTCTCTTCTATATCCCAAAGGCAGACTTAATGGAAAAAGCATTTAAAAACAATCAGAAGTCAAGAATGTAAGCGCCGTGGTACATGCTTAGAGTACTGTAGTTATAAACCACAAACGGCTATATTTACAGCATTTGGATTTCATCCTGTAACCAAGCAGCAGTGTGATTTATGATGTGCTGACCTCAAGCAAATTTTTGAATTTGCATCAGCAAGTGGTTTTCAAACCAAACCTCTCACAAACGACAGTTATATATCGACTCCCACGTACTGTATTCATGCCTTCCAGGCCTCAGTCGCTCTTTTTGGGTTTCATTATAGTGAACACGGTTGCATTATTTTGCCATCGACACACAGGTGCCAAAAAAGGTGCATCGGTAGCGAGAGAGTATCTCATTCACCTTTTTTCTGTAAATTAAAGGAAGAGTTCACCATTTTAGGAGATTCAATATTCTGTCTCTGTTGAACAGACAGAATGCTGCCCTTTGACCTTTTAAATCTGATGCCATTATGCTAAAGAAAGGACGAAGGGAGACTGACGTGTGGGATGACTCTTACGGGATGAACTTTTTAAACAGGATGTAACAGCCTCCAAGTTTTATCGCACATTAATTTGTAAGACAAGACAGGTGAAAAGGTGGTTTCTTAAACGGAATTGCCATCCTTTGCTACATGTATGATGCTAACATGTCTTCATATGCGGACCTTGCAGACTCCCAGGAGCCGTACTTGTGATTCCTCTCAGCACTCAAGTCGATTCGGGTCTCGCCCGTGGCGCTGTTCTGTGTTGGATCTTGGTTCAATATTAAGCTTGATTCCAAGCCAAGAAAAACGCAGCTTAATTAGCGAGCAACCCAGGAGGCGGATCTCAGACTCCAAAGTGTATTCGCTTTCTCTAGTTTAACTTTCATGAGCATGTGGGTCAGTTGGTGGGCAATAAGACTGACCTCCCCAGCACCCTTTACCCCGTCCCTCAAGAGGGCCACAGATGAATTGTTCTCTCCGAAGGAAAGTGTTTTTCCTGGCAGCCTCAGCACGAGCTATACTTCGATGGAATGGAGCTGTCTTTAACAGCTTAGGCCTAACATACCTTTGTAAATTAACCCGTATTTATTATGCGATGGCAAGCATGTGCTGTAGAGCTTCAACGATGTCAGCGTTCATAAACAAATATCAAGTAAGTTTATTAGGTTGAGAGGTTCCTGAATCAAAGTGCGTGGGGGGTCTGATGGCTAAAATGTTGGCCTTCGAGTCTGAGAATGTTTTTTATTTTTCCTCTGTAACATGACTGAATGAGTAAGACTGTGAAGACAAACAGAAAAGCTGGTCATAAATCTCTCTACGACTATTCCCACTCATTGTTTGGCCATGAATGAATTTTTCCAGCAGTTTTGAGAGCAGCAATGAACTCAACCTGCAAAAAAAGGTTTCAAAAATGTTTTTTAATTGCGTTGTCAGATTAATTTAACTGCAGGGAACTAATCTATGACTGTTTATCTCCGTAGAACTCTTACGGTTAAAGCAGTGTCTCGCCATTTATTTCAGATTTAACTTTCCGTCCCGAGGGTGATGATGATGTACAGCTAAGGTGGCAGCGACTGCCCAACCTTGGGGTGATTTGAAAGCGAAAAAGACTGGAGGTCAGAGTATTGTAAACTTCTAATCTTTGTCGGAAAGTGAAATTGAGAGTCCGGGGAAACAGCCTTTTGGGAAAAAAAATCGCAGATAGAAAGAGAGACGCACCACACGGTTTTCTCCTCAGCTGGCTGCTGTCTAGACGGCAAATGTGATCATCCTGTCAACAGACAGCTTTAGAAGTGGGTTACTGAGAGGTGATCTGTTTTTTACCGGATGTGTGTGTGTGTATGTGTCAAGTTTCAAGTTGTGAAATTGAAGTTTCCCAACAGCAGCACTAACCTCCATAATCGTATTAGTCATCAGTTGCTAATTTAAAATATGGATTAGTGCAGCTTTAAAGTAAAAGAATACTTGGCTTACAGCTTACTTGGTCTTCTTTTATTTCTAAAAAGCTGTATACCTAAAGTAAAGGAGTTGGACGTACAAACGGCTGTATACAGCAGTAGAGACAGAAGTACACAGAGTACTTCTAAGTAGTTCCTTTGCTCTGTAAGCGCTCCTAAACTCCACTGAGGGTCAGGCAGCTGATTGCTGCTCTTGGTCAACATAGTGTTATTCACACCAATAGCAGCCAGGATATTATGGGTTGTGACAGTGAAGTGTTTGGTAATGACGGTCATTAGAGCCCCACTTTGCAGAAATGACTCGAGGCCCGGTGTGAGGACACTTCCACTTTGCCTGTCTTCGCACGTCTCATGGCATGACGGTTACATCCTTTTTGCATTGTTGTTTTATTTACTCACCTTTTTTTTTCCTTCCTCTCTCGTCTTTCTGTGAAGATGTTCGATGTTTCCCGAGGCGCGTCTTCCTCTCTGCCTCTCTCACTTCATCACATGCCAAGCCAAGTCGGGCCTTAATGTTTTTACATGCTCAATTGCACCTCAGGCAGTAACCGTCTGGGGCTTTTTTTTCCTCTTTTCTTTTAAAAAACCTTCAGGGTGAACAAGTGCTAAGACGGTTCTGCCTTTTGGCAAGGTGTCAGGGTTCGGAGTAATTGAGGTCGGGCGAGTGGGGGGCCAAGGGCCAGTCGGGGTGGCAAGCAAGAGGGGGAGCGCTCAGTGGCCGAGGGAGAGAGGCCCATCGCTCAGCTGCACGCCGTCTTGGCAGCTGTGTTTTGCGTGGAGCGCCAGGTGGAAAGGGCAATGGTCTCGCACAATTAAACACTTCATTTGTCTTCATTAAAAGGATGGGCATGTTAGTTTTGGCAGGCTGAGAGGATGTTTAGGCTTATGTTTTTTTTTGTTCCACTACGTGCTGTGCCCCCTGGTGTTAACAGCACTTCAAGTTAAAGCTTTAGGGGATTTTTGACCTTAAATGTTAAGAAAAATGCTTTCTTGTAGCCAGTGCATGTAACCTTTATAGCCTTAAAGGTACCCTGTGGAGTTTGTGACCACTAGAAGTGCTATCGGGCAAGGTAAGGGAGGGTGGAGCCCAGTTCTGCACGTGCACAAGCATATACACAGTCCTGCCCATGGTTTAACACTATTCCACAGATTGGCAGTAGGTTTTGAATTCTTCCGCAACAATCATCTCTCAAAACGTTTTATGAGTAAGAAAATTCACTTTGCACATTCATTCGGCCTCAAGAATACAGATATAAAGATACATCCTAAAGAGTTAGATGAGGAGACTGATGCCACCAGGGCTGAACAATTAATGGAAATTTGATCAAAATCGCAATATGGCCGACTGCAATTTTTAAATCTTATCTGTCTCAAACAAGCGTATTTCCCAAAATGTGGAACTGCTCCTTTAACCTAGAAATCCTTGGATCAAGTTATTTAAGCTATCACATACAACCATATGCAAATCTTTCTTTCTTCAAAATCGAAAAAGGAAAAAAATGGAAAGCTGAAAACCCTTGCACAGATAGCATTCTCTTTGTACTGACTCCTATCTAATCAATACATTACATGCAGGGAAACTAAAAGCATACATTAGCGAAGCAGACGAGCATTCACTGAGCATGCTGTCATGTTGCTCCCACTCATCTCTACCCGCTGTTAATAAAAAGCATATTCTCATGTGCTCATATTTATTAATTTTTCCGAGTTGTTTTCTTTAGAGAAATCTAATCCTCTGGATCTGTCCTGGTTGCATGCGTTGGACTCTGTTGTTTATTAGAAACACCTTCGCTTTCCATGCCAAGCCGCTCAGGCTGTAGCTGGATTGGGAGACCTTTGGTCCAAACAGCGAGTTAATAACTGCTTTCGTGATGCCAGTGATCAAGGAATGTTTGTTTTTGCATAGAAAAATACCCTGACTCCATTTTGAAAACAGCTTGCACTCGAAATATGTCCGTATGCTGACTGGTGTTTGGCACATGCGAGTGCCGTTCGTAGGCTCGGTCCCAGCGCTCTTGAAGAAAAAGTGCTGAGTGCTGGTGAACGTGTTGTGTAAAGCCACGCGGCTTTGGACCGGAGATCTTTCTCTCACTCCGGTGTTTGTTCCATCAACACAT